TGTGAACACGGCTGAGCAGCATGAGGGGATGACCTCGGGAGGCAGGAGGAAGATGCACAGATGAGACCATCATCCTGCAGAAGATATCTGGGACCACAGAAGCAGAGGGGGCATGGGAAGGGTTTCAGAAGGGGCCCTCCCCAGTTTTCTGGAGAGTGAAAGGAAAGGAGGGGAGGAATATTTTCAGCCTTGCAAGATTGATGTTAGGCCTTTGAGGTAGGGCAGACGAGAAGCACAACTATAAATACTAGCTCTAAATTTCTCATAAGGTTACATGAACAGAATCTTGCAAGGCTGAAAGGACCTTTCTCCCCCGTCTCCTTTATAGCCCAAGAAACTAGGGAGGGTCCCTTCTGAGATGTTTGGCATGCCCCCATCCCTCGCTCAGACTTGGATATTGTTTATCAGACTGCTGTCTAGTCTGCAGCTCTTCCTCCTGCCTCCCAAGGTCATTCACACTTGCCATTACAAGAGCAGACCTTGCGTGTGAGTCCAAGAAACTGGGGAAGGTCCCTTCTGAGATGTTTGCCACACCCCCTTTCCTTCTGCGGGCTCAGCTGCCCCTTATCCGACCATTGCCTAGTCTGGGTCTCCCAAGGTCATTCCCACATGCCATTACAAGAGCAGACCAGTTGCTTAGCAGGCCTTGTGTGAAAGTACAATCGTTTTTCCACGTGAGCCACTGGACTCCAGAAAATTCTCCTTGGACCCTCTTAGCCATTTTTATATGCTACTGAGATGAATGCTGGGCGAGGGGTGTTTATTTCAAGCCCAGAGAGATCAGTTGAAAAGAAGACGGGAATCATAGAGCAATGCTGTGGCTTGCAAATGGCCCCATTCAGAGCCGGGTCAGTTTACCTTTCTGAAAATGGAAGCAACGTTATGTTTTCTGAATTAAAACAGAGAATGCCTTCGATGAAGTCCCTTTACATTTAGAATACGATGGATAAGGATATGGGGTCCTGAAGAGTCTGCCTGTTGTATTCACGCATGAGTCCCTGTTTGGGGCAGGGAACACGGGGAGCCGCCTTTGATCAGCTCAAACGGTTGGTCTTCTTGGCCAAACTTTGCCAGGAGTGTTCCAGGGTAACGGCCAGACCTTTCCCAGAACTTGCTGCCTGCCTGAGATGCTAATAATTAAACCTGGAATGTTTTGCATGTAAAACATGGGCAAAAAGGTGTGCTTGGACGCGGAGTTATGGATAAATAGCCAAATGGCATTGATACATTCTGCAAATTCAGTAAATGCAAAACTGTACGTCCTTTCCTTTCACATATTTTTTTCCTGTATGGTGCGGTCAAGCCCTGAGATTCAGAAGGGCTCAAAATATCACCCCAATACTGGATTATTTATTTCACAAATTCTGTAGCTACTAAAACAATCTGGCAGGCCCCACATATATTCGAGTGCAGTGTTTTTCAGCCTTGGCCACTTTAAGACGTGTGGACTTCAACTCCCAGAATTCCCCAGCCAGCCATGTCAGTTCTTATCCCTTGGATTGTGTATAATTAAATGCAAACAAATAAATGTGAAGAATTGTGTATATGCATATGTGCTACAGAACCATCACAGATATATCAGATCCTTGGTGTCAACTTGGCTGCACTTCTAAAAATATTGATCTAAAAGTTGAATTCAGTTGAAATCAGTGGTGCTGGCTTTTGAATAAACTTGGTAATAATGGGCTGCATTTTCAAATAAATAATAATGAGATGATGATGATGATGATGATGATGATGATGATGATGATGATGCAACAAGGGTGCACATTCCAAGTTGACTAGGTTTCTTGAAAGTATTTTGCTATCAAGGGATGAGCAACAGAGCTTTTTCATCACTCAAAGGTTATGCCAAAATTAATGTCCCAGAAAGGCTTGGATGGTGAAATATTAGCAGACAGGCTTCCTTTTGTCTTTCTGCCCCACTCCTTTTCCTCTTCTGCCTCTCCTCCTTTATTCTAACAAAGCCAGTTTCTTCGTCCAATTTACATTTTTAAAATTGCACAATATGCCTGTGGTTCCAGGTGATCCATCAGGAGGAAATATTTAAAACAGGATCCTACACAAAGATATCCAACAGGCTGAAGTCTCTGGAATAGCAGACAGGAAGGTACTTTAAAAAAAAAAAAAAATTATCATGTGTGTCAACAGAATAAGATTAAAAATAAGAAAAAATAAGAGATCAAGTCTTACTGAAATCTCCAACAATGCAAATGTTTGTTTGCATTTGTTGCACTCCAAGTTGCTTATAAAGCATTTTTAA